ATAAGAAAATATGTTTTTGATGATGAGGAATCAATACAGCAGAAACAAGAAGCTTAAGTAAGCACTGACAGTCAATAGTATTTGATGAAGATATGAGCAATGAAAAATAACCTAACCAAAAGAAAGCCAGTCACAGCAACTCATCTAGGAGGACAGATCACGAGGGCCAATTCAATGGGCTAAAGAAACAAAAAAGAAAAAAAAATAGCAATTCATGGAAATAAAAATGCTTAAGAAAACTTTAAAGGTTTAGGTCCTTTGTAAGAATAGTAATTAATATAAAGATCATGCTCAAACAAACCTGTAAAGGCTCTGGGCACTCACGACCTAAGTAATCTTCCAAAGTTTCATCATTGTCTTCTAGTTCATCCCCTCCAGTGAAGACCACAACCATGTAGTCAACTATTTTGTTTCCAAACAATGTCTGCAAGTTACGAAGAGCAGCTTGTTCTTCTTGGGAAAAGCGAGTTCTGACAGAGAACACTACAAGGATGGCATGAATCCCTTCTTTGGCCAGATCAATGCACTTTACAATTTCCTTCCCAACAAAGTCAGATCCCACAGCATAATCAAATAGTCCTGCAAAGCTTGTTCACAGGTACGCTTAGAAATAACAAAATCAGTGAAATTGCAAAATCAAAGGCCACAGAGAATAGCAAAATAAGACGAGCTACTGTATTTTACCTGGGGTGTCAATAACATTAACAGTTTGACCATCTCTTAGCACAGCTTTCTGCAATTCACAAGTGCTTGTTACAGCAGATGAACTTGCCCTTGACTTGAAGGCCTTCCTTCCAAGAATGCTATTACCTGTTGCACTTTTTCCATTGCCAGTACGTCCAACCAAGACCATTGTTCGGGTCTCATTAGTTGAGGTAGTGAGCTCCCAATCATCATCTATTGAACTTCCACCCATGATATAAATTCAAGTTGCCTAATGACAAAAATTATCAAATAATATTACAACATATATTAAATATGAATATAAGATAGCATGTAAAACTCCAAAAATTTTAGCAGAAGAAGACCAACAACGCTCTCAAATACAGGTCAACGATGTT